GCTCCCTTCGCTGGGCCGGTGGGTGACTGGGAAGGTGACTAGGCGGCCGGTCCAGCTGTACTAGCCCAGCCACGCTCCTATTGGCCCAGGCCCGCTCACATCGCTCGTGGGGGCGGGACGTGGTGATTCTCCCACGACTAGCTCCGCCCCCTACGTATGGGTTGACGAGCGGAGCGCCGAGCTCATCGTCCTTTAAAGACTCTCACGTTGAGGGCCTTAAGGCTGCAGGGAGCCCAGGAAGCGGCGTGCTGCTAGGGCAGGTAGCCCAGCCACGCTCCTATTGGCCCAGGCCCGCTCACATCGCTCGTGGGGGCGGGACGTGGTGATTCTCCCACGACTAGCTCCGCCCCCTACGTATGGGTTGACGAGCGGAGCGCCGAGCTCATCGTCCTTTAAAGACTCTCACGTTGAGGGCCTTAAGGCTGCAGGGAGCCCAGGAAGCGGCGTGCTGCTAGGGCAGGTCTGGCCCATGCTAAAGGCAGCACCACCCACCCACAGTGTGTCTCTACGGCAGCTTTAGGAGCATCCACTGCTAAATCCATCATGGTGTGGAACTTGAGGGTGTGTAATGTTTTAAGGACTTCAGGCAAGGCAATACTTGTGGAAGATTTTAAACAGCCAACTACATATTGGAACAAGGCCTTGAAAGCGGGGCACAGACTATCCCATAAGTTCTTGGATTGCATTGAAGACTTTCTCTTTCAGAAGGTTGAAAAAGCTACTAAGGGGACAACTGTTTGAGATTTGATTTTAACAAATAGGGAGGAACTGGTTCAGAATTTGTAAGATGACCATGAACTCATAGCATTCATGCTTTTAAAGAACTAGCCAATTAGTCCATCACAAGATGGGAGTTTCAGTCTCTCCTCCCCCTCAGTCTTCGTTCCTGGACCCCCAATCTCTCCCCCTCTCACCTCTCGTGGGGGACTGTGGAGCCCAAACGGAGCAAGCAGCCATTTAGGCTCCCCTGCAGCAGCCCAGCTGAGCAAGGCAGAAGTCAGCAGAGAGCAATGGCAGGAGGTGAAGGGGGTGTGGCTGTGACAAACACAGCCAGGCCTCACCCCCTGGCCTTGTATGTCACCACCGTGGCACTTGGCTGACTTCTGTGCCACTCAGCCAGGCCTCGGGAGGGGAGTAAGCAGCTGTTTGAGCCATGCACTCCCCATGCAGCACAGGCTGCCCAGAGGGAACAGCCAGCATTTCAGCTTTACAGACTCTCAGACATTGGGCTATACTTCTAAGGAATGGTAGAAGGGAGAACAGCCAGAGACAATGGATTTCAGAAAGGCAGATTTTGGTAAGCTCAGAGTTGATAGGTAAGGTCCCATAGGCAGCAAGACAGGGAAAAACAACTTAAGAGAGTTGGCAGTTTTTCAAAGGGACATTATTAAGGGCTGTAAAGCATACTCTTTCACTACATAGGAAAGACAGATAGCAGGAAACCACCTTGGATCAAATGGGAGATCTTATATGATCTAAAAATTAAAAAGGAGTCTATAAAAAGTGGAAACTAGGTCAAATTACAAAGGATGAATATAAGCAAACACAAAAACGTGGAGCAAGATTAGAAAGGCAAAGTCACAAAATAAGCTAAATCTAACTAGAGGTATAAGGGTAACAAGAAGATGTTCTACAAATATATTAAAAGGAAGAGGAAGACAAGCACAGGATAGGTTCGTTAATGAAGGGATAAACAATAATAGGAAACTTGAAAATAGCAGATGTGCTTAATGACTTCTTTGTTTCAGTTTTCATTAAGAAGATGGATGGTGATGGGATGCCTAACATGGTGAGATAGATTTAGAAAATGAAATAAAAAAAGAACAAGTTAAAAATCACTTGTTAGATGTCTGCAAGTCACCAGAGACTGATGAAATGCATCCTAGAATACTTAAGGAGCTGATAGAGGAAGTATCTGAGCCTTTTGCTATCATGTTTGGAAAAATCATGGAAGATGGGAAATTCCAGAAGACTGGAAAAGGGCAAAAATAGTGCCCATCTATAAAAAGGACAATAACCCAGGAAACTACAGACCAGTCAGTTTAACTTCTGAGCTAGGAAAGATAATGAAGAAAGTAATTAAGGAAATCATCTGAAAACACTTGGATGATGTGATAGGAAACAGCCAGCATGGATTTGTAAAGAACAAATCACATCAAATCAATGCAATAGCTTTCTTTGATAGGATAAAGAGTCTTGTGGATAAGGAAGGACATGGTATACCTAGACTTTGGTACGGTCTCGCATGATATTCTTATAAATAAACTTGGCAAGTGCAATTTAGATGGGGCTACTATAAAGGTGGGTGTATAACTGACTGGGTAACTATCCTCAGGGAATAGTTATTAATGGTTCACAGTCCTGCTGGAAAGGTATAGTAAGTGGGATTCCACAGGGGTCTTGGCAAGTGCAATTTAGATGGGGCTACTATAAAGGTGGGTGTATAACTGACTGGGTAACTATCCTCAGGGAATAGTTATTAATGGTTCACAGTCCTGCTGGAAAGGTATAGTAAGTGGGATTCCACAGGGGTCTGTTTTGGGACCGTTCTGTTCAATATCTTTATCAACGATTTAGATATTGGCATAGATAGTACGTTTATTAAGTTTGCAGACGATACCAAGCTGGGAGGGGTTGCAACTGCTTTGGAGGATAGGGTCATAATTCAAAATTATCTGGACAAATTGAAGAAATTGTCTGAGATAAACAGGATGAAGTTTAATAAGGACAAATGCAAAGTGCTCCACTTAGGAAGAAACAATCAGTTTCACACATACAGAATGGGAAGCAACTGTCCAGGAAGGCATATGGCAGAAAGGGATCTAGGGGTTATAGTAGACCACAAACTAAATACGAGTTAACAGTGTGACACTCTAGCAAAAAAAAGCAAACATGATTCTAGGATGCATTAACAGGTGTGTTGTGAGCAAGACACAAGTCATTCTTCTGCTCTACTCTGTACTGATTAGGCCTCAAGTTGGAGTATTGTGTCCAGTTCTGGGCACCGCACTTCAAGAAAGATATGGAGAAATTGGAGAAGGTCCAGAGAAGAGCAACAAGAATGATTAAAGGTCTAGTGAACATGACCTATGAAGGAAGACTGAAAGAATTGGGCTTGTTCAGTTTGGAAAAGAGAAGATTGAGAGGGGACATGATAGCCGTTTTCAGGTATCTAAAAGGGTGTCACAAGGAGAAGAGGGAAAAAAATGTTCTTGGCTTCTCAGGATAGAACAAGCAGCAATGGGTTTAAACTGCAACAAGGGAAGTTTAGGCTGGACATTAGGAAAAAGTTCCCAACTGTCAGGGTGGTTAAACACTGGAATAAATTGCCTAGGGAGGCTGTGGAATCTCCATCTCTGGAGATATTTAACAATAGGTTAGGTAAATGTATATTAGAGATTATTTAGACAGTACTGGGTCCTGCCATGAGGGTAGGGGACTGGACTCTATGACCTCACAAGGTCCCTTTCAGTCCTAGTATTCTATGATTCTAAGGTTGAGCTGTGGGGAATTTTATACACTGCAGACATGTTCAACATAGCTGGTAGTGTATGTACCTTAGTGTCAAATTTCAGTGACATCTTTAAGGAGCTCTTGGTCACCTGTGATAGCCACTCGGTCTATTATGGTTAGCAACTTGTACACTGAAAGTGGGTGAATAAGTAGAACTGCCACCCGGCAGCTCTGTATTCCTTGAGTGGGCTTGTTCAGATCAGAGTTCAACAACTCTCTGGGATCAAGCCAAGAAACTTACAGTAAAAAAATAGGAAGTGGAAAAAAAAGCAGCACACACCATGCCTGCTAATGCACTCTTTGTACCTTTATTGTTTCACCTCGTTCACTAACAGTTCCAGTGGTGCAAGGTTACCATACACAGTTAGATATCTGCATTGCACACCTAAGGCTATACAGCAAATGGATCAGAATTAGTACAAATACATGAACTATATTTACATTCTGTATACTCAAGCTCCAAACCTCAGATATATTTACAAAATAAAACATGAGAATGAAAATCTGAAATTAATAATGTACAGTGTTGCTGATGCACTCCTTTGCTGGGATGAGCTCAGTCTGCAGAGATTTGTTCAAGAAGGCTACTTATGCTATAGTGTCTACCATGTGTAGAGGACTTTAATAGGGAGATGGAAACAATGGTTAAACAGATATTTCAGTGCGACAGCATTTCTAATGTCTATAGTCAAGATTCACAGACTACATATGGAGTATGCGGCTCTGAACAAGCAAAGTGAAATTAAGACCCCATCCTGAGAAGTGCTGAGCAACCTAAACTCCCCAGTTCCCACCACTTGGTTTGAACAGGAGCTCTAGGGGTAGCTCAGTACCTCAGGTAGGCCATTAATTTGGCAACATTTAAAACAGAGGAGCTATAATCCTTCAAGACCAACGAGTATGAGTGCACAGCTTCTCTCACTGCTTGAAACAAATTTAAAATTAATATTGACACAAGGTTAAGGAACTTGTTTAGTGTTAGACTATTTTTGGGCTCCAATACATAAATGGCCTTCTGAACAAAAATCTCTCATTTCTGGTCTCAAACAGCTGATGTTTCTGTTTAACAAGGAAGCACAAAATTAATACAT